CGTTTATTTTTCTATGAATATAAGATGGAAAATTCAAAACTTTATTGTTATTATTATTATTGTCATCGTCATCGTCGTCGTCGTCATCGTTGACGTCATCGTCGTCGTCGTCGGTTTATCGTTATTATATTACATTTATTTAAAACGAAAAAAATTTTTTTTTTTTTTTTTGGAAAAAATTCGTTCCAGGTTTTTGATTCCTCCCACCCCGAAAAAAAAAACTTTTCACAACAGTCAAATCTCTACCGTCTTGTTTTTTATCCCCTATGCGGTATGGACCTTATCACCTCCTACCCCCACCTCCTTATTGTTATCACTCACTTTTTTTTATCATTCTATTGTCGTTTTATTTTAATAAAATTTAAAAAGGTTTTCATTTGAGTTTTCGCAACGAGAAAAAGGAGAAAAAAAATGTACGGTTTTAACATAACCTTTTTTTTATTTTCTCTCTTTCTCTCTCTTTTCGGTCTCTCTCACTCTCCTTTAGGTCTCTCTATCGTTTTGGACTCTCACTCATTTTCCTTTTGGTCTTTCCCCCTCTCTCTCTCTCTTTCTTTATCTTTCTCACTAGAATAAACAGTTTCAGTCATGAGGACACCGTTTAAGATAAAGATTATTATTATTATTATTATTAACTTAATATTAGTTTTTAAGAGATTTCAGTACGCTTTAGTGCCATAAAAATTAGCACACTAAGAATAAGATGAAATTAAATTCCTTTTTCTCTCTTTTTCCCTCTCGCTCTCTTCTCTCCCCTCCTCTCTCTCTCTCTTTCTCTCAAGTTTACGACGTTTGCTTGAGTTGCAAAAAAAAAAAAGAAAAAGAATTTTTTTTATTTTGTGTTAAAAAATTTTTTACACGTGAAACATTTTCAAAATACATAAAAAACTCGTCTTTCAACACAATTTAATAAAAAAAAAAAAAGAAAGAAGTTAATTAAATTTTAATTACGATTTTAATAATAATAATAAAAAAAAAGAATAGCAGACGACAACTACGGTTAAATAATAATAATAATAATAAGAATCGGTTAAAGAGTTAACTTACCTTTAAAAAAACTTTGTCATTTTCACGTACGTAAATATTTTACATTTTTTTTTTTAATAAAAAATCTTATTTAACAATTATTATTATTATTATTAAAAAAATTTACACACGCACAGAGATGATGATGATGATGATGATGACGTTACACAAAAAAAATTTTTTTTCTTTTTTTTCTTTTACCACAACGTATTAAATCCGAATAATTCGAAACGTGTAAGTAACACATTCACGTGATTTTATTGCCGGTAGCTAATATAAATAATTAATTTTTTTTTTTAAATAAATAAATAAATAAAACGTTACGAAATAATTGGTTAAAAATGTTTTTTTTGTTTATCCGCCCCCCCTACCCCGACGACAGCAGCAACGGAAACGTCGCGCGAATTTTAAATATCGCGGAAAATTCCCGGAAGAAAAACCGACGACGGTTACGATGAAAAACCTTTTTCTCGACTAAAAGAAATTTTATTAAATGTAAATAAATATTTAAAAGCATGCGCGTTGGTTAGAAAAAGGGAAAAATTTTATTTTTCCGGGGGAGGGGGGGAATCGGTGTAGTAGTTTAAACCCTTGGCGGCGCTAGTGTTTTTGCAACCTTATCAGTACTTTTTTTTTTTTTCCTCTCGTCATCATCCCTCGAGTGTACCCGACGAGGTTATAGTGACAATAATATGCTTTTAGCATTAAATGGTTTGAGTTTTTAAAAAAAATTTTATCTCATAACATTCATTTTTTTCCCCCCATCATTTCCCTCCACCCTTTCTCCCTCTCCTCCCTCTCTCTCTTTACATCGTTTCGTATTTCCATCCTTTTCACCACCCATTAAAAAAAAAAAAAAAAAAATTTTTTTCAACGTATATAAAAACGTTTTTTTGTTGATTTAATTAATTTTTTTTTAAAAAAAATTTTCAATAAATTTTTTTTTATTTTTAAAACATTTTATTAATTAATTAAAAAAAAAAAGCATAACATATCGTACGTTAAACGTATTTTCAGTGTTACCAACATTTTAAAAATAAATTTTTAAAAATTGTTTGTTAAAAAACCCAATTTTTTTTTTCCCTAAGACTATATAATTTCATTTTGTTTGTTTTATTTATTATTATCATTATTATTATCATCATCGCGGATTTTATTTTATATGTTTTTTCTTCCCTTATTCGAATCTGTTTTTTTACGACCTTTTTTTCTTTTTTTTTCGTCTGCTACTATATAACTAACTTTTATCTAACGTTTGTCAATAAAAGGATTATATAATACGTTAACTAAAAAAAAAAAAAAAAAAAAAAAAAAATTGTATGTTTTATGTACATAAAACGCATCCCTTCAACAAAAAAAAAATGGTTTCTTTATAGACTAATATAGCTTATAGACTACATAACTATATTTTTATAGCACGGGGAAAAAAAATAAAATAAAGACGCGAATCGACTTTGGAAAATTTTAATAAAAAAAAAAAACCGAATTACGAATTTGTTTTTTTTTCTTTCGAAATAATTATACTCTCCTAATAAATTAATATTAACGGGAGGGGAAATATTAAACTCCTCCCACTTTATAATACAAATATTTTTTAATTCGTTCTCACTCCCCTTTTTTTTGTCTTCTCTTCTCACTCTAATTTTTATCTTAACCCCAACAACACCCTTTTTACCCCTTTAGTTCTCCTAATTTCATTCGTTCTCTTCATCTTCCCCCACCCTCCCCCTCTTTACATTTCTTCTCATTCTCTTTAAATTTCTCCTCTCATCTTTAACTCACGTATTCTTTTTTTTTTTTATTCTCCTTAACTTTTTTTTTCCAATCCCCTTTTCTTTTTTGATTTTACCCCCTCTCTCCCCCCACCCCCCACATTTCTCTCCTCCTTTAAATTTTTTTTTTTTTTTTTTTTTTTTTAATAGTCAATTTCGGTCGTGAGAGTATTACGTAAAAAAAAAAAAAAAATTTTTTTTTTGTGTCTCTTACCATTTACGAAGCATTTTAATTACATGCAAATTAATGTAACCTTTGGTTTTTTTTTTTTTTATGGAAAAAAAAACACGAATAAGAATTTTTAATTTTTCTGGAAAAATGTCAAAAAAAATTTATATGTATTATCATTCGACCCTGCAATGATAATGATGATTATGACTGTTTGCTTGCTTGCCTGACTGTCTGCAGTCGTATTTGTTGCGAGTGATTTGATGAGTAATTATGACATTTTTCCCGTTGTAATAAAAAAAAAAAAAAAATTTCGATACCTGGATTTCATCCAAATTCACATTTATATTCATATGAATGTATGACAAAAAAAAGTAATAATAATAATAATAATACATATTCCGCATTATGAATAAATAAATTTTTCGTTTTTGTCTTTTTTCGTTATTTTCCAATGGTTATATTAATAATAATAATAATAATAAAGGGCATCGTCATCGTTTTTATAAAAGTACCCATTAATGTATCGAGTTATTGTTTAACCTTAATGTATGTTTTCAACCATTTTTGAGCAGCGAAAAAATCAATGAAACAATAAAAATAAATTTCATTGCAGTCGCATATGGGAAAGGAAAAGGAAGCAATGCCCCATAATTCGTTAAATCTTATCAAAGGACTTCCGGAAACTCCTGGACAAAGGTGCGTTGTAGATTTTGTTTGTCCTAAATCGAAGCAATACATGCTCGGAACGGCTAAAAAATGCCACAAACTAACCATGAAATTTTCGCGTGTTTTTAATGTTAGTTTTGTTTCATCTTTCGTTGAATTGAGCGCGAAATATAATGTCGTGCAATTTCGTAATTCTTTCGTTTTCCCTGAAATCAAATAAATTATTATCATTATATTCTTATCGAATCGGTAATAACTTCCGGTATTAGCGAAACACACATACGCGCACACACGTTAAAAAGAAAATGAATAAAATCGCATTGAAATGGAACCCATATAAATTAATTATATTAACCGGATGTTAAAAAACCGTTACCGGAAACTCATTTCCACAAAATTAATAAACATTCACGCGAAAATCATTTGAGTTTAAAAAACGTAGGAATTTAAAAATTAAATTTGACAGATAGAATGCGGAAAAATAATTTTGACGGTTGTCGTGGTCGTGGTCGTAGTCGTCGTCGTCGTCGTGGAAACAGAAGAATTCAAATGAAAAAGAAATTTGACAAAAAAAGACAATGAGAAGTAACATAATTAAAAACGTAATAAAAATTGAAAACAATCGAAATTAATAATAATAATAAGTATTCCTACAAACTCGCGGGTAGTCGCGGGTATGACGATGATGATGATGATAATTACCATAAGACATTTTGGGTAATTCATTTTCTTTAATGTCAAATGGATGATTCAATTTTATCAATACGAGATCGATATCTTGAACTCTTGCGAGATATTGAGGATGTAAATAATATTCTAAGCTTCTTCTTTCTTCCACGTTCGTCATGTTAACGGATTCCTCGAACGGTTTTTTCAATCTTTCCTTTAAATATTCCGTGAACGAGGACGTGATTTTAACGGCAAGAAATTTTTCATCGTTTCTATTTACTTGTACATCCAAGCAAGATGCCGTACTTATAACCAAATCCGGCATTACTATACATCCCGTACACAAAACCATTTCCTCCGAGAACAGCATGATCAGGTATGGGGGTACGACGTTCGTTTCCATTTCTATTTTACGTAGCGTCGGATGATCTTTCGAATCCGTTTTCGGTGGGAGTTCGTTTACTCTTTTTAAATTTGGCATGACTTGTTTGGATTTACACGATACCAAACAAGTAAATAATGATAATAATAATAAATTAAACGTCATGATTTCGGTTTGTTACTCTACTGTTTTTTTATTTTTCTATTAAAAATTGATAAAATTTGATAATTTTCACTGTGATTAATAAAAACATTAATTTCTACAAAGTCATTTTAAAAAAATTTTTACGTTTATAAAAACAAAACGTGTCTGCCTGTGTTTTTGTGTATGTGAAATACAAGTGTTTGCAAAACTGCGACAAATTTCCCCTTATCGAAAGAAAAAGAGAGGGAAAAAAATTCCCCGTTGAAATATTTGAAAATTTTTCGAATTTATTTGATTAAAAGGAGCATTTTTGTTGTTGTTATTATTATTATTGATTGATTGTGACGTAAATATTTTTTTAAAAAGGTTCAAAGGTCAAGCTTTAACGGGTAAATCGTTAAAATAATGAAAATGATTATAAATAATTAATTAATTAATTTTGTTTTAATGTTTTTTTTCGGTTTATTGTTGTTTGAAATTATTTAAGTTTTTTTTTTTTTTGCACTTTTACGATACTTTGAATTGTTGTTTGTTTGTTTGTTTGTACCGTAAAAAAGAATATGATGTTATTAAAGAAAAATAAAATTTTTTTTTTTTTAAATTTTACGATTTTCCAATAAAATTTTTTTTAAAGAAAATCAAAACGAACGATTGGAAAATTTTTTTTTTTTAAAAAAATTTTATCGATTTTTAATCAAATCTATAAAATTATTATCATTATTATCATCATTATTATTATCATTACTGATTTTTCCCACGTAAAGGAGGAATTTTAAAAAAAAAAATGATTTTATTAAAATTTGTTAATTAAAAGTTAAATTAAAAAAAAAAAAACTTAAATAAAACTAAAATAAGGTTTTTTATATAAAAAAAAAAAAAAATTATTCGTGGCACCATATGACGATGTTTTTAAAACGAATTTTTTTTTACCCACCATCGAAAAAGATTAAAAAAAAAAAAAAAAAGAAAAAATTTGCAATTCAATGTTTTTAAAACAGAAAACACTCGGCAAACAGACCATCAATTAAAATTTTAAAATTAAATTACTCGAAGCCGTTTTGAATTTTTTTTTCCTGTCGTCGTGAATCGAATAAAATTTGATCAAATGCTGTTGTCGTCGTCGTTACTTTATAAAATTTTGATGAGTTTTTTTTTTTTAACCCATACCCCCTATCCCCCCTTTCAACTCCCCATTTAATAACATGGTAACGTTTTATTCAAACACGTGGTGGAACGAGTAAGAGAGAGAAAGAGAGAGAGAGAGAGAAAGGTTAATTATTAAAAATAAAAATTTTTTTTTTTAAAAAAAAAAAAACGAATTTATTTACAGATTCATGTACACGATAATAGAAAGAGTAATAAAAAATAATAATAATAATAAGAGTATTTGGTATTTATGTTTATACAAAATCCTTTTTGATGTGTTGGAATGGCGGCGAAAAAAGTTTAAAAGTTTTTTTTTTTTCAAATGAAAAAAAAATATTTAGAAAAGGAGGTTGAAGTGTGTGAATGTGGGTGTGGGCGCGTATGTATATGACGAAAGTTTGATTGAGAGAAGGAGATCATTCGACGGTTAAAACGGTCGAACAAACGGATGTGCAGTAGTAGTAGTTACCGGGGTAATAAATTACCACCAGCCGCCACCGCCACCACCACCCAATTTCCATCCTCCGCTTCTGTATCCACCACCGCCTCCTCCTAATCTCCATCCTCCGTGACCACCTCCGTAACCACCACCGAAACCGCCACCTCCGTATCCGCCTCCGAAACCACCTCCGTAACCGCCTCCGAATCCACCGCCAGATGATTTAACAACGATTACTTTAACGGGGCCTCCTAAATTAAAAATGAAAATTTTTTTTTAAAATTATTTTTAATCGATTCGTGACTTCTTCTTTTTTAAATATATGTAAATTTTTAATGTTTCGTACCGAAACCGCCTCCACCGAATCCGCCGCCACCATAACCACCATGTCCTCCTCCGAATCCACCGCTGTATCCACCGCTATAACCACCACCGAATCCACCGCTGTAACCGCCTCCTCCGAATCCTCCGCGGTATCCTATTTTTATTTAAAATTTAAAACATATAAATAAAATTGCCGTCTGCGGGGAGGGAAGCTGGGGAACCGGGGGAAGGGAAAAACTTTTTTCTACGGTCAACTTACCACCAAGAGCGACGTCACAGACGACGGCAACAACAACGAGAACGAAAAGACCCTTTAAAAAATAAAAAATAAATAAATAAAAATAAAAACTTTTATATATATATATAATTAAAACAATATTTACAACGATTTATCTAAAACCACGACATTAAAATTGATTAACGTGTAATCAATGAAATCATTCACGACAGAAATCGGATCGCGACCCCGATTTTTTACTTGGATTTTTACCGGTCGAACGAGTTTTTTTTTTTTTTTTTTAATATGATAAAAACCACATTTACCGGTAATGTCAATGTTATTTAAATTTATAACTTTTTTGATAATAAATAACCTACGACACCATTTTGTTTTTTTTTTTTTTTTTTAAAGGAAAACGACGAAAAATGACAAAGGAAACAAGAGAAAATTTTTAAAAAACCAAATCGCGAATTTTTCAAAAAAAAAAAAAATAAAACAAAACGTAAGAATTTAAAAAAGGTCGGAGGGAAAAAAAAAAATGAAAAACAAACGTGGTTTTAGAATTTTTCCCTCATACGACGATTTCGTATTTTCACTTGTTGCTATCTGTTGCCACTAATTCGATTTATTCCCTCTCCCTGCTACTACCGCCACCACCCCAATTTTTTTTTTTTTTTTGCGTAACCATCATGTTTGTCTTTTTAACGAACATTGATACATTTTCCGTCCGTATAAATTTTCCAGGATTTTCCCCCTTCCCTCCCTGCCTTCCTTCTTCCGTCCCTTCCCCTTTTTTTCACTTTATCATTCATCTCGACCTTTCTTTGTTTTTTCATTTCTCCTTCTCCCCGAAAGAGAGAAAGAGAAAACAAAAATTAAAATTCAAATTTTTTTTTTTTTAAAAACGCGCGGCCATTTTTAAAATCGTTATCATTATCGTCGTGCTTATCATTATCATTATTATTATTATTTTTTTTTTAATCGAGAGAGCATAAAAAAAAAAAAAAAACTACGTAAAACACGTGAAAAGCAATTTCTATAAACGAAAGAAAACGAGAATTATTAAATTCTTTAAATTCTTGAAAATTTTCCCTATACTTCTTCTTCCGTTTCCGGCCATTAATTTTCTTTCGATTTTTTTTTCTTACTTTCTTTACCCGTCTTTTATTTTTTCACCTACTCTCTTCCCTCTCCCTTCTTCCCCCTCGTCGTTCGATATTCCCACACTCGTCTTTTATTACCCCTTTTCGACATTTCCGGTCGCGACTGACTACCACCACCACCACCTAGTATCACGTTTAATTTTTTCGAATAAAAAAAAATTCGTGGTAAAAGAAAAAAACAAAAAAAAAAAAATACAAAAATATTAAAAAAAACCCTTTATACTTATGCCTTAAAAAACAAACAAACAAACAAACAAACAAACAAAAAAAAAGAAAAAAAAATAGTTATTAAATAACTAACTAACTACCTTCATGGTTGGTTATCAAATGTTCAACTGATGATCGGAAAATGGTTTCTTGTTTATTTATACCATCGATACCACTCCTGTCTGGGTACCCGAAACCAAACATCATCAACTACCACCACCCATTTCGATGATCCCGCACAAGGACGTTTAAAAAAACAAAAACAACTTTTGCTAACATACAAACGCGCACACACACGTACAAACGGTTTGGGTTTTTTTTTTGTTTCTTTTTTTCGTTTCGGACGACGTTGCGAAAACAAATTAATGATAATGATGATAATAATAATGATGATTAGAGAAAAATAGAAAAACTTTCGTTTTTACCCCTTCCCTCCTTCCTCCTCCGTCTCCTTTCCTCTCCCCTTTATTTTTCATCGTAAACCTATAACCACCCTACGAAAATATTTTCTTCTTCCCTTATTATTATTATTATTTGTTCTCATGCGTGTTCGTGCGTGTCATTTTTACATTTTCTATTATTATTATTATTAAATCGAAAACATTTTTTTTTCACTCTCTCTCTTTTTCTTTTCTTATTGAATATTTATTCGTTTGTTTATTTGTTTGTACGATAGAAATGTCAAATATCATTATTATCTCATTGTAGAGATAAAACAAGTCATTCAGAAAACGTTTTATCGTTTTCACCTGATTTTAGAATGTTCTAGAACGTTTCCTTTTTCTTTCTGAAAATCAACGAGTTTAAATTTTCCAGATATCGTGAAGAAAAATTTTCAAAAATTTTCTTTCTTTTCTTTTTCTTCTTACTAACTATAATAATAATATTCTACTTGATTGATAATAATAATAATAATCGATAAGTTAAAAAAAAATTACGTAATAATTAAAAAAAAAAAAATTTTTTTTTTCAAAAATATCAAAATAATAATTTTGAACGGACGCCATATTGCAAAATCACTTTTTTTTTTTTTAACCATGTCGCATATATGATTTTGGACTCGTTTCCAGGTTTGTTAAAAAAAACCCGTCTTTAAAAAATTACAAAATTCATTGTCAAATCGTTTGTTTTCATAATCATTATCATCATCATCATTTATTTATTCGTATTTCCGGTTATGAATAAGAAGATGAGTTTTTAAACGTTTAAAAGAAAAATTATGCCACCGCCTGCTATGATTGAAAACGTTTTGGAATTTTTTTTTTTTTAACATTTCAATATTGCGCAAATAGCTTATTTAATTATTTTGACACGATTAATCGAGTTTAAAATAAAATTTCCTGGTTTTTTTTTTTTTTTAAATGGCGGACGAACGATTTGAAATTTTTTTTTTTTTTTTAATATTCGAAAAGGTCTTTTGTTTTACTACTATTTCGCCATTTTTTTACTTCTACCT